AATGGGAATGGGGAAATGGAGAAATGGGAATGGGGAATGGGATAAAATCCCAATTCTTCCTCTCACAGCCCAGATTCCCAGCTGGGGCTGGCACATCCCTGCACGGCTGCCTTGGCTCTTCTTTCCCTGCAAAAATGCTTTTTTTCCCCTGGAAAAAATGTTGTTTCCTTTGGAAAATTTCTTCTTTCCCTTGGAAAATCTCTTCCTTCCCTGGAAAAATGCTTTTTTTCCCCTGGAAAAATTCTTCTTTCCCTTGCAAAAACTCCTCTTTCACCTAGAAAATCTCTTCTTTCCCTTGGAAAATCTCTTCTATCCCTGGAAAATCTCTCTCCTTTGGAAAAATCTCTTCTTTCCCCTGGAAAAATTTTTTCTCTTGGAAAAACTCTTCTTTCTCCTGGAAAATCTCTTCTTTCCCTTAGAAAATCTTTTCTTTCTCCTGGAAAATTTCATCTTTCCCTGGAAATTTAACCCTTCTTTTGCCTGGAAATTCTGTCCTTTCCCTTGGAAAAATTCTTCTTTCCCTTGGAAAATCTCTTCTTTCCCTTGGAAACATGCTTTTTTTCCCCTGGAAAATATCTTATTTCCCTTTGAAAAACCTCTTCTCTCCTTTGGAAAATCTCTTCTTTCTCTGGAAAATCTCTTTTCTCCTTTGGAAAAATCTCTTCTTTCCCCTGGAAAAATTCTTTCCTCTGGAAAATCTCTTCTTTCCCTGGAAAATCTCTTTTTTTTCTCTGGAAAAGCTGTACTTTCCTCTGGAAAATCTCTTTTTTTCCCTGGAAAATATCTTTTTTTTTCTTTGGAAAATCTTTTTTTTTTTCCCTTGGAAAATCTCCTCCTTCCCCTGCCTCCATCTGGATTTGTTTATCAAAGCAGGATTTCTCACCCTCTCCCACTTCAGCCTGAGCTCTTCCCTGACTCACAGTGAATTTCTCTTCACCCTTTCCCACAAATGCCATTTTTGGCTGCTGGAGTTTTTCTCCTGCCCTTCCCTCTTCTCTCCCTTGCTCAGGGCAGGCTCAGATCAGAAATTAGAAATAATTTTTCCCTCCCAGAGGGGTCAGGACTGGGCTGAGCTGCCCAGGGAGGTTTGGGGTCACTGGAATTGTCCCAGAGCAGGCTGGAGGTGGCCCTTGGGGACAGGGCTTGGGGGGATGCTGGGGTGTGGAGGGAGCAGAAAACACAGAAGAAAGTTTCCCTGCATCCTCAGAACAAGCTCCTTGGAAAATCACAGCTTAGAGATGAGAAATGGCTGTGAAATGACAAATACAAAAGGAATTTAGCTTTCCCCTCTTGGAAGACCCTCTTATCTACCTTCAGTATTAGTGATTCATTTTCTTTTAGTATCCACAGGCCAGCTTTGAATGTAAAATCCCTCAGGGATTGGTCAGAAAGTAGAATTCCCTTGGTAATTGGTGCAAAATTTAAAACCCTCCAAAGATATAAACCCCCTGTAAAACAACAGCCGTGGGTATGTGGAGATGGGATGCCTTCATAGAATAAACCATGGATTTGTGCCTCTCTGCATGTGCTGGTCTCTGTACCCTGCTGCTCTGAGAGCTCTGAGAGCCAAAATTCCATCTGGG